ACTGCGACTATCACAGAGCATGGTCTTATGGCTCAGGCTTCTACTTCTGGTACTATTCCTTTTCCTTCCACAAGTCTTAGGTATGAGAATAATAATCTCACTTTTCAAAATCTTACTCTTTCATCTATACAAAATTTTTTGCCAAGTGATGCTTGGATAATAGATAGTGGTGCTTCTAGTCATGTCTGTTCAGATTTAGCAATGTTTAGAGAATTGATACCTGTGACTGGTGTAACTGTAACTTTACCAAATGGTACTAGGGTTGCTATCACACACACAGGAACCATATGCATCACTACAACACTCATTTTATATAATGTCTTGCATGTACCTGATTTTAAATTCAATTTGATTAGTGTTAGTTGTCTTGCTAAAACTTTGCTTTGTTCTGCTCATTTCTTTCCTAATTGTTGTTATATCCAGGAACTTTCTCAGGGCTTGATGATTGGGAGGGGTAAACTCTACAACAACTTATATATTCTTGAAACACAGAATATATCCCTCTCACCATCATTACCTAAAGCTAGTTCTTTCTCTGGATCTGTTGTAGCTGATAGTCTCATTTGGCATCAAAGACTTGGTCATCCGTCTTCTCCTGCATTAAAGAAACTTGTCAGTATCATTCCTTCTTTAAAAACAGTGTCTCCTGATGTTTTACATTGTTCAGTGTGTCCATTAGCAAAACAGAAAAGATTAGCATTTGTTTCAAATAATAATCTAGCAAAGAATCCTTTTGATCTTGTTCATTTAGACATATGGGGTCCTTTTAGTGTTGAGTCTGTAGAAGGTTTTCGTTATTTCTTAACTCTTGTTGATGATTGTACTCGGATTACATGGGTTTATATGCTGAGAAATAAAAGTGAAGTTGTTACTGTTTTTCCAGTGTTCATGAAACTCATTTCTACACAATATAATGCAAAAATTAAAGCCATTCGTTCTGATAATGCTCCTGAATTAGCTTTTACAAATATTATTAAAGAACATGGCATGATTCATCAATTTTCTTGTTCTTATACTCCTCAACAGAATTCTGTTGTTGAGCGCAAGCATCAACATCTATTAAATGTTGCTAGATCATTGTTATTTCAGTCAAATGTACCCTTACCTTACTGGAGTGATTGTGTTCTTACAGCTGCTCATTTGATAAATAGATTACCTTCCCCATTGTTGAATGATAAATCTCCTTATGAGTTACTTTTAGAAAAACAACCTGATTATACTTTGCTAAAAACATTTGGTTGTCTTTGTTATACTTCTACTAATAATCATGAAAGAAACAAGTTTTCTCCAAGAGCCAAACCATGTGTTTTTCTTGGCTATCCTTCTGGTTTTAAAGGATATAAAGTCTTGGATTTAGAATCTCATGCTGTTTTGATTTCTAGAAATGTGATTTTTCATGAAACTCAGTTTCCTTTCAAAACCAATGAGTTACTTTCAAAATCAGTAGATATGTTTCCTAATAGCATTTTGCCTATGCCTGCTCCATTGCATTTTGTTGAAACATTTCCATTAGATGCTGCATTACCAGAAGATACATCATCATCATCTGCATCATCTGCACATATAGCACCTAGTACTGATAATAATGAACAAAATGCAGTTACATCAGATACGGATATTTCTTCTGTACCTATTGCTAGGCCTAAACGGGTTACTAAAGCTCCCGTATACTTATCTGAGTATCATTTTTCCCTTGTTCCTTCTATTTCTTTTTTACCACCTGATACTTCTTCCACATTAAATACCACTACACAAAATAATCCTATCCTATCTACTTCTTCTTCTTCCATACCACTTAAAAGAACCACTCCACATCCTATTACCACTACTATTTCATATGATAAGCTTACTCCTCTTTTCAATTCATACATATGTGCTTATAATCTAGAGACTGAGCCTAAGACCTTTGCACAAGCTATGAAATCAGAAAAATGGACTAAAGCAGCAAATGAGGAGCTTCAGGCTCTTGAACTTAATAAGACTTGGGTTGTGGAATCTTTACCTGAGGGTAAGAATGTTGTGGGATGTAAATGGGTATTCACAATAAAATATAACCCAGATGGAAGTGTGGAAAGGTATAAAGCAAGGTTAGTTGCTCAGGGTTTTACTCAACAAGAAGGTATTGACTATATGGATACTTTTTCACCTGTTGCAAAGCTTGCTAGTGTGAAGCTATTACTTGGACTTGCAGCTGCAAAAGTGGTGGAGTTTGACACAGATGGATGTGTCTAATGCATTCT